GGGATCCTTCTTCCTACGCCCCCTCTTGGAGAAGCTTCTGCTAGATGGCGTTAGCGTAGTTCGCCATATAACTTAGGATGAAGTGATGGGGAGGGTTCTGGAAGACCTCGGTTTCTGGCCCTTGACCGAGCTTCACAACAGCTGCCCTCCATCCACATTTGAAGAAGATGTCTTTCGCAGCTTCAAACTACAAGACATAAGTGGCCTCTGCTTCTTTGTAGCCATGGTCTTCAATGTCTTCCGCTTTCTTTTTCAGCTCGGTGATTTCAACATCTTTCTTCTTCTCAAGCTTGGCCAGTTCACGTAGATACCGGTCTTTTTTATATGCTAAAGCCTTTTGCTTATCTGCTTTAGCCGAGTTGACTAGCCCGGCCAACTGTGCATTTTCTGATTTTAGCTTGGCCAAAGTGGCCTTCGCCTCTTTCAGCTCGGCTGCTTTCACATTAGCATCTGCAACGGCCAACCGAGCCGTCTTCCGAAGCTCAAGTACTCGTTTATGAGCCACTTGGCTCTTTTGTAGGGCCTATAAAGCTCAGAGCGGTTAGAAAATCATGCACTAGGACCGCAACAAATGTTACTCAAGTTTTAAGGATTTTTGGGGCTTAACAGTATCATCGATTTAGAGGCCGAGCGAATGGCCTTCAGCTCGGTCAAACTGTCACGCCGTTCCATGTCTGCAGGCAGGCAGACACTCTTGGCTAAATTAAAGGCCAGCAGGTGATTCTTCTCAGCGTTAACGGAGTCGGAGGCCATTATGGCGCGACCCCTGAAGGTGACAGATGGTGCCCACACCGGCGGCGTGGAAGGGTTTGAAGGACTAGGTCGGTCGCAACCTTGGGTGTGAGTTGCTTCTTGGAGCCCAGTTTCGGATGGCTTGGTATCATCCTCATCCCTCAGCCGTTGTGTGGGCGGCCATTTGCTTGGCTGAGATGACGAAGCTCGGGCTGTGGAGAGGGCTACCATTGCCTCATGTGTCTGATCGGCCTGTGGCGCCTCGCTCTGAACCTCAGCAATTGGAGTGGTGGTTTGTTCAGTGATCAGGGCTCGAACAACTCGGCTCTTGGCTATTTCTTGTTCTTCAGTAGGGGGAATGAGGTTGATTTGTAGCAAGTTTGGGTCCGGTTCTGGTGATGGTTCCAGAAGAAAGTCAGTTACCCTGACTTTCCTACTATATCGGTAGGTCGGCTCGAAATTTAGCAGCTCCGCTCAACCTTGATTACGGTATCGGAGTGCGACACGAAGAGTGTCTTGATTGGCGTATGGGTATTATGATTTTAGTTGGTTTAAGTCTGCATAAAGAGAAAGGCGACGATCACCACGACAGAAAATTATAACTTGAAACAGCAGAGCAGGAACAGAGAAATAAATCGAGGTATTCTTACCGGCTGTCCCTTTATTCTAGTTAATGTTGTAGCCTGGTATCTGGGCTTCCTGGTCTTTAAAATTGCCAGAAACCTAGAAGAAGTCGTTGTCATTTACGTCTTTATCCGGTATATTTTTTTATAATTTTCTCTAGGCCTCTTCTTACCCTTAAATAATACACCCAACCGTCATCATTTTGGCCGAGCGAATATTGGTGGAATAGTTCGCCCAATCTGAGGTTGAGGCCGAGCTGGCGGTTTAGCTCGGCGATGCCATTTGTTATCCTATAAGTATTTGTGGAGAGTTGGGTCGGACAGAGTCTTATTTGCCTAAGGAATTCACATATCAGAGGTTAAACGGGAAACCGAAGGCCAACTTTTACAATAGATATCACGGTAAACGGGACGAAGCCCGGTTTGCCCCAGGGTGTTGTTTCTAGTTCGACTAGGGAGATGTGAACGTCGTTCGGAATTTGGTAGTCCCTTCGGAACTCAAAGTTCGGTCTCAAGGCAACTTTGGATTTACAAACAAGTGCCTAGTTCGGTCTCAAAGAGATTTTGGATCAAAACATATTTTTTGAAAACTAGTTGGTGAGCCTTTATGATTGGCAGTGTTCTTTTTAAGTTCATAAGTGTTTGTTCAAGCATTTTCAACACACGTATATGGAGATTAAATACTACAGATGCAAATACAAGAATGAATACAAAGGAGCATAAGAAAAAAGGTTTTACAAGAACTTACGAGTTTGAGTGTGAATGAAAAATCCAAACAACAATGAAGCAAGTATAGTGCAAGGAGCTGGAGCACAAGATACTAGAGCACAGAAGGAGTAGGTCTCAGAAGCACAAGGAGGGAAGAAGATGAACAGTAGGGGTAAGACTCAGAAAATGGGTTTTGAATAGGCATGGAAACGACGGGACTTTTCAAACATTTTTTGATAAACGTGGGACGGCTGTCGCAGTTTGAAGAGTCAATAAAAATGTGCTACGTGTCAAACAGGACATAGTGTCAGGTACATGAAGTGACGGGGTGTGGCAGGTACAATGCTGAATACCGATCTTATCTAGCTCGGTAGGGTTGTATATTTTAATCACGGTGGTATTACTTGCTTTAGTTCGGTCGGCTTGGACGTTTTAGCTCGGTTGGAGAAGAATAATCCCAAATCATGCGCTGCAGATGTGATTAAAGGGCAATTGAGAGGGTAATTTGTGTGAAACTTGGGCCGAGCTAAAACTGGTTGGAAAGTGGACCGAGCTATGGGCCGAGGTGATCCCTCGCATAGCTCGGTCCTTGATCCTTTCGGTTTGGTCAGAGAGGTCTGTCATTAGCTTAGTCAAGGTGCAATGGACCGAGGTATAGGGGAAGAAGAACCGAGCTAGAGCATGCCCAAGGTGTCACCGAGCTAGGTGAGCACGGTTAAAATTAGTTTAAGGTAAGCCAGTGCTAGTCCGGTTATGTTACTATCAAGACGATTGTTGGGCCATCTCACTTGGTTAAGCAGTAAGGAGGGGGTAAAAAGATAAGCATTATCTTTTTGACTCCTAGGAGGACTCTGCTAAGGAGAATAGAGTCCTACTAGGATTGTGCAAACCATCTCACTTGGTTAGTAGTGAGTAGGGTGTGTGATTCCTAGGAGGATTCTTATAAGGAGAGATGAAATTCTCCTAGGATTATACCAAGCAGAATCTATAAAAACTCATAGCAGGACCTATGTACATGTATCACAATTTTTACTCTCAACAACTTAGAGCTTTTTGTCTATTGTTTATTCGTTGACTTAGGCATCAGAGAGGTATCTGGCACACACTCGCCGACTAGCTCACGTTTTGTGTTTTTAGGAAGCAAAGCGACGATGTTTGGAAGAGCGCAAACTTGATCAACATGATTATACGAGAAAATTATTTCGTACTCATACAAATACTATTATTAATTTTAGTATTAATTTATGGTAATTAAGCCATTAATTGACACCTAATTCATCTATAATGAAAAAATGAAAAAAAATTATACTAATTGATACTATTATTAATTTTAGTATTAATTGATACTAATTATATTAACTTTTGTAATACTAATTATATTAATTTTTATTAATGAAATAATTTTTTTAAAATTAAAACTGAAAAAAATGACAAAATAATCATTTTTATATCATATAAAGGCAAAAAGGACAATTACACAGTAAAAAGTTATTTTACAGCTTATTAACCAAACACTACTCTGCTGCTTAAATCTATAATCTCACAGCTGCATCAAACAGGAAAACTTATGTTCACAGCTATAAGTCATAATCTGTTAAGTTATGATCTATAATAACTTTTCCACAGCTCTACCAAATGGGGCCGAAATACTATACGAGGTACCATACTTTGGTAAGTACTCGGTACGAGTACGAGTACGACATGTTTTTCGAAGTACCCATACTTCATAAGTTGGAGGTCATCGTGGAGTGAGTTGGCATAAGTGGCCGTAGTTGACATGAATCTCTAATATTTATCCATATTTTAATACATATATTTAGAGCTGGTTTGACAAGTCCAAAATAATTCAAAAAGTAAAAAAGTTATGCAAAAATAAAAAAAAGTCATTACTATTCATAAATAAAAAATATTAAAAAAATATTTTTATAATACAAAAGTTTGATGGATACTATCAGCAGCCGTACCTGTGAAGCAGGAAGGCCATTATGCACTTTTTGGGCCAAAAAAAAAAAAAATTATATATGTAAAGGGCCAAAGTTTGATGGTAATGTTGGGCCATTGGGGGCCCATTAAAGGTTCTGTTTTCATAATCTGAACCTTTCAATATGTAGAACTTGTCGAGTAATATACGCCTGTAAAAAATCACGTTGATCGGATATCGTTAACTATAGATCAAATTAGTTTTGTATAAACAAAACGGATAGTGTGATAGTTAACTGTTAAAAAAACTAATCTGATCATATAAGTATCGATATTTGATCAACGTGATTTTTTACAGGCATATAATACTTGACGATTTGTATATATTGAACGGTTTAGATTATTAAAATGGAACCCATGGTAACCCCACAGACTGACTATCACTGTCCAAACACTTTGCCCTTGAAGGAGGTAATTATTTTCTGGGTAAGACATGCTGATGCAGCACGGCAGCCGTACAACCACTTAACTTTCTTCTACTATACACTTTATTTATACAATTTTTTATTACACATTTTTTTCATAAAAAGACAAAAAATTAATTCAAATATCCATCATTTTTTTTTAAATTTTTTAATTCAAAAAGATAAAAGGTACACTTATTTAGGACATCCTAAACCGCCCTTCAGTGCTGTGCAAATGCAAACTACCGCTAAAATCACGCATTTTTTGAAATCTGACGAGACGTGTTGGAGGTCATCGCAGAGTGGGTTGGCGCGAGTGGTGGTTTCAAAATGCTAATTGGCGGCTCCAGCCGATCCCCCATATACTAATACATTCCAACTTAGGAGTTGTTTTGGATGACCTAAATAAGTGTACTTTTTATCTTTTTATGAAAAGATGTGTAAAAAAATAGAGAGATAATGTGATGAAAAAAAAGATAAAAAGATAAAAAAATGAATTATTTTGTGTGGCATAAATGTATTTTAATAAACATACACTCACACACACCCAATCATTTCTCATTTAAACCTAGAACTCTCTCTCATATCAGATCATGCCTCACGCTCTCGCCGCTTGTCTCCCCTTCCTTCCTCGCTGAGTTGCTACCGGCTCGCACTACTTCTCGCCTCGCCGTTGGTACTCTATCCCTCTCTCTCTCTCTCTTAAATCTTTGGCTGTTGTACAGTTTCTTATAACATTTAGTATAGATTGTAAACATTCCTACTTCAATTTGATTCAATCATTTTTTAGGTATTTTTCAACCTTTTTTTTTTAATTCATCCTGTTATTCTGTTATTCTTAATTTTTTTTTAATTTTTTTTAATTTTTTTTGCTAATGTAGTTTGTTCAATAACATAAATTGATAGTTATGGCTAGTTTTGATTCTTCATTTTTTTTTTCTTTTTTACTCTCTCTCTCTGTTCATTCCTAATTTGTGTTTTTTTCAAGGGCTGTTTGTTTTGCTAGTTTAGTATTTGTTGCTTTATTGGATTGTTATTTTATAATTTGTTCGGATTGTTTAATTTCTAGTTTACTAGTTTGTCAATGTTGAATGTTGGATAATTGGATATATATTTTAATTTCGACTATTTTAGCTGATTTATAATCACTTTTTAAAAATGTTTGATTCAGATTTTGTAATTTGAATTAGGTTTTTTCTAATATGCCAATCCACCCGAACCGCCAAGTCGAAACCACCATTATTTGCTAATCGCTCCGCCGGTTTGTGATGAAAAAATAGTGGTTTCTAATAATAAATTTGCCAATCTGTCACCCGCTGAGCTGTTTCTCTTTTAGTCTCAAACCGCATTGAACCACACCCCTACATATATTACAACTAAGCACAAAAATATTGTTAGAATCTTTTTATATATTTAATAAATAAATATATGCACGGTCTCATAGGCACTCCAACCTATGAAATTTCTATATGCCTTTGCTCTTCTGACCCCGCTCCTGTCCCCGCCTCTGCTTTGTGTAACTAAGGTCTCACACTGCATGTCTCTTGCTGTATTATATAGTACCAGAACTTCAGCGAACAAATATGAGAAAGGAACATGTTCACAGTTGTAATAAGGAGTATTACACAGTAATACAGTATAAAAACTCAGCTGCATGCCAACGTATATAAACTCAACTGCAGGCCAATCATTAAGCTGAGAATATCACTGCATTACTGATGGTTTTTCTCCACTGCCATTTCTTCGCCCTCCACAAATCCCTCCCCTAATCCAAGATCCAAAAACAGCCTTAGAGAATTGAAAATTGTTTGATGTGTGTATGATGTGATCTAACCTTGGGCGGGATTCTTAACAAATTCTAGGTGAAATTCTTAGATTCTATTTCACTCTTTGTACTCTTCTACTCCTAAACTGCCCATATTCTTTGTCAAAACCTAGCTTATTATGTCAAATAAATCCTAATCATTTTACCTACCTTTTGGCCTTCAACACCTAAAACCATAGGGTGTGCCACACCCCGATTTCTAAAGGGTCTGATTCAACAAAATAAGTTGATTCTCTAATTAATTTAGAAAAAAAATATATTAAATTTTAAAGAAAAGTCCTTGAGGTTTAAAAAGAATATGAATACATTATAGGTTCTTAATTGAGACGATAAAATAAAATGAACCACACTCCAATAATGGATTCTACTCATTTCATGATGATCTGGGAGCTACAATGCATCCTACAGTAACTCATTGGCTCCGTTTGGTGTAGCTGTTAAAACAACTTATAGATTATAGCTTAACAGATTATAAATTATGACTTTAATCAGAAGTTGTTAATCTGTTTGGTGTAACTGTTAGATTATAGATTTGAGTTGCTGAGTAGTGTTTGTTAAATAAGCTGTGAAATAGCTTTTTCAATTAATTTTTATTTTTTGTTTGTCTACATTTCTCATAAAAAATAATAATAATAATCTATAGTCCATTTGAGTCTTTTTCTATTTTTAAAAAAATAAAAAATAAAAAAATTTAAGAGTATAATCATAAATTAACATGTCCACAGCAGAAGCTGATAATCAGAAGCAAGGGATGAGCAACTTCTCGGAATCAGCTTTTTTGAGTTAAAATAAGCTGTTAGAATCAGAAACTATTTGAAATAAGTTTAACCAAACAGTCTAAAATAACTTTTTCAAAGCTAAAAGTTGGCTCTGAAAAGCTGAAACAAACACCCCCATTATATGGCATGAAAATAAATCAAATAAAACATTACATTGAAGATTTATTTCTATATTCACAAAAAATTGCCTTACGGGCTTGCATATAGAAGTGACATAACCCTATTTACAATAACGGGATCTCAACCCAATACAAATAAGGCCCTAGGCCGTACAAATAATAAAACAACTGAGCTTGTTGCCCTCACTTCACAATAGTCACCACTTTGGTGTTGGCGCGCTATCAACACCTAAAAAATGATTTCCACAAAGGGCTGAGCACTAGGCTCAACAGAGATAATCTTAATTAAGTAAATATGCTTTAACATGGATATATGATCATGAATGCAATGGACACACCAATTCATGTCAAGATAGTATTTTTTCGTGAAACCAAAACCAATGCAAGTTTTCAAATTTCCAACTTCACATTTTCCATTTCAACAATTATTAAGCCGTAAATAAAATACTGGGAATCCCTAGGTCTGTATTGCCAGTAGTCTATCAAAGAACTACCAAAATCACCCCCACTTTACTAGCTACCCGGAAGGAACTTGGTACTTAATTTGCGTGGGTTTCTAGTCCTTTATCGAGGACCTCAAGCCAACTCATTTCTTTTTACAAAATCTTTTTTATACACTACTCGGATTAACCACTTTATTTACCCCAATAATTCGAATTAGTTTACACAATTCTCAAGAGTAACAAAAATAACAGTTTTATTTGAAAGAAGCATGCCAATGATCTAAGACGCACGAACACGGATATGCGACACGACATGGATACGCCGACACGCTAATTTTCAAAATCTGCAGGACACAACACATAGGGGACATGCATAAAATATATAATTTTATATATTTATTATATGTTATATATATGAATATATCATTCAAAGATAATAAAAAAATGCAATATGACACTGATCTCTATAAATTTATATGGTTTTTGTTTTATTATTGTATCTTAAGTTGTTTTGTTAAAACTTATAATAGTTTCACGTGTATAATTGATAGACATTGTGTTTAAGAGATACACACGTGTATCCTCAAAGTGTCGAAAGAGCGTCTGGGTCTTTAAAAAATATTAAAAAATAAGACATATATTGAAGAATGTCGGGCACGTGCCGTGGAAGTGTCCAAAGAGTGTCGGTGTCCGACACGGATGCGTCACATTCTTAGAAGTGTCCGTGCTTCTTAGCCGATAATAAAGATGCAAATGTCAATGTATGATGTTTAAATGGTTTCAATTTTTCCTAATCATTGTCAAAATCTACAACAATGCAATCATCTACTGATTGCCACCAACAATTACAATGATAGAAAATTATTCCCAATCTGAAATATTCAACGATATGTCACCAACAATTATTTCTAACAATATCTCAACATAATACAATGATCGGAAATAATTCCCTATCCGAAAAATTCAACCGTATGCTTTAACAACTTTGTAAATTCACATCCTATGATTTAAAATATTTAGGGCTTTTTACTTTTGATATTAAACTTTGAAATTTATACACGTCTATTTATGGAATAATTTTTTTTGAGAAATGATAATTGTTTATGAAGCCCTAATTATTTTTTGGAAAAATTACTCATGAATCCCATTTGGAGAAAAGTTATTCTATTTAGTCCTAGAAGTTTTCTTTCAAACCAATTAGTCCTTTTTATTTTGGGTATGTTGTATTTCCTTGATTTGGGGGTTGAAAGTTTACTTGTTTGCCCTTGTGTGTGATTTTGTTCGGATTTTTTCCTAATGTTGGGTGTCCATGAGTAAGGTAAGTTCTTATGTTTCTATTTTTTTTATGGGGATTTAGTGGAGTGATTTGTAGGTGGACGATGTTGCCCCGTTTGTGGTGTTATTGATGTGGTGTTCGTTACTTTTTGTGGTGTTTGTCCCTATTGTAACCGTGACATTAATTAACATCCAAACGTAACACTAATGTAACACATAAAAAAACTCTTTACTGTACGTTCCCAAATATAACACTTCAAAGAAACTCTGTAGTGTAATACACTAAAGTAACACACAAAAATTTATTATCGTAACACTCTAATGTAACACAAAAAAAATTCCTTAATGTATTTTTTTCAAACGTAACACTCTAATATAACACACAAAAAAACTCTTTAATGTAACACTCTAATGTAGCACATACAAAAACTCTTTAGTGTAACACTCTAATGTAACATACAAAAAAACTTTTTGATGTACTTTTTCCAAATGTAACACTCCAATATAATACTCTAAAAGAATTCCTTAGTGTAACACTCTAATGTAACACACAAAAATTCCTTAGTGTAACATTCTAATGTAACACACAAAAATTCTTTAGTGTGCTTTTTCCAAACGTAACACTTCAATATAACACTTCCAAAAAAATTCCTTAGTGTAACACTTTAATAATTCCTTAGTGACCTTCTATCTGTCATGGATCCATTGACCCTCTGTTCTGTTCTGTTTTGTACCGTGGTTATGATTGTTTTGCATATACGATTTTTGTAATATATGTCTGTTATTTAAAATAATTTATTCAAACCAAACTATTCATTATTTAGCTTAAATAATTATCCATGGTGATTCGTATACCTGTACGCTCTTAGTATGATATTCATTACTCTGCTATGTACATATAGCTGTTAAAACCTTTTCAGGTGAAGAAACTTAAGGAATAATGGTTTATCTCATTGATCAGGATCCAGATTGATATGAACATCATGTTTCTTTTCGTGTTTATTTGTAATTATTATCTGACTTATGCTACATAAATAATAAGGCCAAGTTTGGGAACTTGTAAAAAAGCTAAAAAGCTAAAAAGTTACTCAAAAAGTTAAAAAGTTAACACTATTCACCAAAAGTCAACAATTACGGCTGCACAACTCTCAATTCGAATTTTTCCCTACAAATCAATTTTTACAATTTTTTATTACACATTTTTCCATAAAAAGTCAAAAAGTTAACCCAAACAA